CCCTCTACTCTGCACTTGTGAGGCCCCACCTGGAATACTGCATTCAGCTCTGGAGTCCCCAACACAAGAAGGACATGGAGCTGCTGAAGCAAGTCCAGAGGAGGGCCACGAAGATGATCCAAGAGCTGGAGCACCTCTCCTATGAAGACAGACTGAGAGAGTTGGGGCTGTTCAGCCTGGAGAAGAGAAGGCTCCAGGCTGATCTTATAGCAGCCTTCCACTACTTAAAGGGGACCTACAGAAAAGCTGGAGAGGGACTTTTTGCAAGGGCATGTAGTGATAAGACAAGGGGTAACGGCTTTAAACTGAAAGAGGGTAGATTTACATTGGATATAAGGAAGAAATTTTTCACTCAGAGGGTGGTGAGGCACTGGAACAGGTTGCCCAGAGAAGTTGTAGATGCCCCATTCCTGGAGGTGTTCAAGGCCAGGTTGGATGAGGCTTTGAGCAACCTGGTGTAGTGGAGGGTTTCCCTGCCTATGGCAGAGGGGTTGGAACTGGATCATCTTTGAGGTCCCTTCCAACTCAAACCATTCTATGATTCTATGATTCATCCAGTTTCAGGTGAGCATTTGGGGAAGCTATTTGAAAAATCAGTAGGAATTGAGAGAATTCCTAAGACGGAAAGCAACATGGTCTTGGTTTCTCCTCTGAAGCATTTTCATCAGATAGATTCAAATAGCACATTAAGCAAAAAGAAGGCTGCTTAAAGGGTTACTGAAACAGCATCATTGTCAGCTTCAGTTGCGAAAAGAACCTTAGCTGTGCTGCATGATCCTTAGCCCTCCTTCTGTTTGACAGGGGCTGGCTGTGCCTCCACATGTTCACATTCCCCTCTGACCCATGTACAGACCAGAGAGGACATTTCAATTAACCTTGTGTGGCAGGTGTTATGCCTGCAGCAAGCAGCACGTGACAGCATGACAATAGTGGTATTCTAGCATTTCGCACAATGTTCATTTTTTTTTTAAATATCTTCAAATCATATATTTACAGCAGTCCAGCCATAAAAACCTAGCTGGAGATGCTGTTTCTGCCTGAACCTGAAACTGTCTCCAAAGGCAAGGTGGCTGTGACACACCAGCCGAAGCGTGGCATGGGTTGACATGTTACATGCCTATCACTTCCTTGGGACTAACACTGTGTGACACTAACCACTGCAGCCGTCTCCCACACTTCTAAAAGCAATTTCCCCTCTATTGAGTTCTACTCTTTATGGTTTCTAAGAAGCTAGAAGTAGGCTTCATTTTACCTACAGTCTTAGCAATTGCCACCAATCCACCCTTGGGTGGGTTATTAAATTAAGACTATTGAATCAGATTCTACTGGCAGCTATTTGATGTCAAACCTGGACTAATCTCAAATTTACAATTGAAGTTGATGTTAGTTAGGAAATAAAAGTGTGTCCTTTCAAGTTTTAGCTCTGTACATTGCAGGTTGTATTAAAATTTCAAAGTTTTCTAGAAGCAGCCATGGATGGCTGCATAGGGAAGATGTCTTACAGGATAACTTCTCAAGAGAATAGTTTGATCTGCTCACTGTGCTCTGAAATTTCCTGCACAGTGAACTGAGGAGTTTCTTTATGAGAAGGGGAGTGATGTCAACTAAAATTACAGTAGCTGTTTTCTCTCCATAATCTTGCTCGATGGGTTTTCTAGAGTCCTAAGTTTTCTTACTAGAGCTCCCAGTTTCTCATGGGAAGGGTGACTCATTTCCTTTGTACACCTGGGATTCCAAAGAGGAGCATGCAGGTAGCAGAGGAAGTAGGAGGGATCCAGGAAGTTTATACAATTTTCTGCACTGGGACATTTTTTGAGTGTTCTAACCCCAGGTTCCAGGTGAAGGTACTAAATATCAGAGGTCCCCCAAGAGACAGTTGTGTTACAAAGCTTCCCACATGCTGCAGACATTGGGGAAGCTCAGTGCAGTGGCTAATGCTGTGTCTGTCAGTTTGGAGGTGGTCTCACTGGGAATACCCTACAGTCGTTAACTTAATTCTTCAGACGCTGCGAAAATGTCCACAGAGTACTTGGGAATAGATGGATGTGGGGAAGTTGCTGGTGGGTGGGTGGATGCAGCCTGTGCCCAGAGCGCAGGAATGAGACCTGCACCAAGCATGATGCAGCTTCCCCCTTGAAAAGACTTCAGGGCTTGCTTGTGCCAACTTTGCACTTGAGAACACGATGTGCATGAAGGTGGGGGACCCCAACTCAGCCAGAGCCTTTGGATGGCGTCACTTCCTCTCTGCAAAGGGACTGCTCTAATGCTTCCCCTCACGCCCAGTCTTCTAGCCTCTCAAGCCCTTTTTTTATATATATATTAACTTGTAATAAAGGAAAATAAGCTCTGCTGAGTGATGAAGACTATTTAAAAAAATGTGAAAACAAAAGTCCCCTAGCTCACTCCATTTGTAAGGGGCAGAGCATTTCCTCCAGCCCTAATTTCAAAGCCAGTGATTTATGGCAGTTTCTTGGTCTGAGAGAGGTGTCTTCCTCAGGATCTCAGAAAGTCTCTTTCTTTCTACCATCAGGATTGTGGCTATGAAAGATCCCTCTGCTCCTTTCCAGTCCCACCACATGCTGCCAGCCTGCCCTGTCCCTCCATCACTGTCCACATCTGCCCTGCAGGGTTCCCACAGTACAGGCAAGGAAAACAGGCAGGAATCCATCCTGTCCACCCACAGCCTTTTAAGAACATACAACTTACAGCAACAAATCTAACAAATATGGTCCCTAATGCAGCAAACCGCATGGAGCCTGGCTTGGGACCAGCCTGTGCTGGAGGGGCACAAAGGGTGTTTCAAAACTCCTTCCGTGCTGACATAGCACAGGCAGACCCCTGTGCTCAAAGGTATAACCCACTAGATAAATTGTATCTGATAAAAGGGGTTTATTTTTTATTTAATGTCAGCTGAAATAAATTGCAAAGCGCAGCAGTGAGGATTTAGTACTTGCAGTGCTAACCATATTACTTAGCATTTATATAGTGCTTTCCTCATTCAGGAAAGCGCTTTTGCTAACTTAATTCATCCTCAGCCACCCTCTGCATGTCATGAGGGAAGTCAAGAACATTTAATATCCCCGCTGACAGATAATGTGTACAGCTGGGACTGGCACAGCTCTGTTACTTTTCGTCTTCTCCCACCCTCAGCATCCCACTCGAGTCGATTTTTGATAGCTGCAGCACATACTTGAGTCCTGGAAGTCCCCAGCAGAGCAAGGGGAAGGATCCAGCCCCTTCAATGAGAGCCGGCAGTGGTTCCCGACTGGGCAGCCAGCAGGAGCAGAGCTGGGACCGGTGGGAGGCAAGAAACATGCCTCAGTAGACAAAAAGGATTGAGAGAGCAGGGAGCTGGGATGTGGAGGGGAGGATGAGGGTGCAGGGATGTTGGAGGGATGCTTGGACTGAGGAGGACACTTGGGTGAGACAAAAGCTGGTGGAAGGATTCTGGTACAGAAAGGTTTAGAGGTTGCTTTGAATTATCTTACTTGATGGGACTGTTTAAGGCAGGACATGGTAACAGGGTTGGGGAAGAGGATAGTAGGTCCGGCATGAGGCTGGATCTGGGGGATACAGAGCAGGAGTCCCTGGAGGTGAGCAACATGGGGTGTGAGGTGTAATGCTGGGAAAGGCCTGTGGCCTGGGGGAGCCGGGTGTTGATTTCCATGTCAGGAGACCTGTAGAGCAGGAAGTGTTCCTGGGGAGCCACTGCCCATCTCTGCACACCTGCCTGGCCCTTACACACAACCACTGCTGCTCCTTGCTTCCAGCAGGACAGGATTCTTCCCACCAGAGGACAGATATCCCTTTGCCAGGGGCTAGAGGCAAACAAGGCAACAGGAGAGAGCACAGAACCCGCCCCATGGCTCTGTGCCCCTCCAGTCGTTGCTCCTATGGGCTGGATGCCACAGCCCCATCACTCGCCCACGTCCCAGGAAAAGAGTCTCAAGAATATGCATGGGGGTCTTGGGCACAAGGTGCCCAGGGACAGGCTGTGGCTTGTGCTGCTGCGTTTCATCTGGTCAAGGGACTGCTCGGCACAAAAGGGAACAAATAGGGACAGCTACCCTAGCCCTTTAATCATTTGGGATCCTAATTTTAACTTATGTAAATACATCTGTGTGCCAATTCTCTACTCACCTTTGAGCTGGCGTAACTCCTAATTTCAATGGATTTCTCTGGTAGAGACCAGACCCATATATTGCATTCGTTACGTGAGCCAAATTAATGCTCACATAGATGGCACTTGCTTTTGGAGAGGATAGTAGCTACACACAGGTGTTGATTAATATGCCGATTAATTAATAAGATATTGATTAGTGCCTACTACATCTGTAAACGAATATTAACAAAACCATATAGTTATTGTATGGGTGGGATGTGTTTTGTGGGGTTTTTTTAAAAATAATTCAGATAGATACTTTTACCATAAATAAATTTGAGGTTATACGATTGTTATCAAAACTTTCTCTACACTCACTTTCAAAGAGTTAAAGCATCCTATGTAGAAGTACTCAGTTTAACTCCCCTATAAACTTCTCTGGTTTTAATAGTGAATTAAAACCACTATGAGTTAACTGACAGTTTTAAAAATAAGTTGATTATAAATCCTTCCTGAAAGATTCCTACATGTATAAATTATGTTGTAATTATGAACTAGAACAAATACTTATTTCATTTGATCCTTAAAATACATTGATTCTGTTCTACACCTCTGCCCAAAAAAATAGCTTCAGGTCCCACTGAAAATCATTTTTTTGTGGAAAAAGGAATAGTTACCTATCCAAAAAGGTTACTCCAAATTCCATTTTACAAAACCAAAACCATTCACTGACTGCAGTATTCCACACACGATATATGCTCATACTTTCAGTACCTCTAGACTGAAACTGCTCTTAACGTTTTGCCGTAAGCCCGAATCTGATATGAGCAAGAGGCTGCTTTAATTTTTTAAGGAGCAGCTCTCCTAGCTGCAAAGGCATTGAAGACAGCCTGGGAGACACAATCTGTGCGATGCTGCTCTTTATTGTCACAGGTACAGAGTTCTGATGTGGCAACGCTGCACATTCAGGTCACCGAACATTTACGGACCAGGAAGGACTTTTCAGTCTCTAAAACGGTTACAAATGGTTTTTGTCGGAACGCATTCATTATAAGCAGTCTGATCTCTAAGGAGTCCTACTATTTTATTTTGGGTAATAACGACAAAGTCTTACCAACTGTTGATGGAGATACCATGGGGTTAATTTATATTCACATTGGAAAAGCAAAGCAGTGCTCCCTCCCAACTCTGACAGATCCCGTGAGTCTTTTCAATAGTTGATTGTCAAGTTGTCCCGATCTATAGCTTAGCGCTGACAACAGCTCAGTTTATTTGCAGCTTTGAAGCCTGGTCCTATGGTGTTTCTCTTCTGACAGGAGGTGAATAAAAGTGTCACTGTGGGAGACTTTTAGCCGGTTGCTATAGAAAGGATCCTCTTTGCCTTCCCTCGCAAGATCCTCTAGTTCACTTCTGGAGCTTGTGGCTTTCCCCTCAGTTGAGTTTAGCTCCATCAGCTCCAATTCGTGCTTGGCAGCTGTTTCTAAAACTCTCTGTTTGTTATAATACCTGACAAAGTTGTTAATGATGGGATGAATGGGAAGGGCGATTGCTATCACCCCGCAAAGAAAACTGATGGCAGCATTCAGTTTTCCGAGTGTTGTTTTAGGGTATATGTCTCCATATCCAACTGTGGTCATGGTAATGATTGCCCACCAAAAAGACTGAGGGATGCTTTTAAATAAAGTTTCGGGGTGACTTTGCTCCATGGTATAACCCAGAGCAGAAAAGACAAAGATTCCAACAGCCAAGTACATGAGGAGCAACCCAAGCTCCTTAAAGCTGCGTTTCAGGGCGTACGTTAGAGTCTGCAGCCCCGAGGAGTGCCGTGCCAGCTTGAAAATCCTCGCGATCCTCATGATGCGCAGTGCTTGGACAGCTTGCTGGACATTGCTCAGCTCCATCAGCTTGGCTCCCAAGTGGGTCAAGGTCAGGCTGACATAGAAAGGAAGTATTGCTAGCACATCGACAATGTTCATGAAAGACAGGGCGAAGTGGAGTTTGTTGGGAGAGGAGATTAGCCTCAGCATGTACTCCATGGTAAACCAGCCTATACAGGCTGTCTCTATGCTGTCCAGAGTCGGGTGTTCCATACGATTCCCCTCCGCGTCTACAACCTGCAGGTCTGGGATGGTCCCCACACACATCACGACAGAGGAGATCAAAATAAACAGAAAGGATAGAACGGCGATCACTCGAGCTGGGTAAGATGATTCTGGCTTCTCCAGAAATTTCCAGATGTATTTTTGGCACCTTTTCCAGCGACTTTCAGAGGCATCCACTCCCAAGTCGTCCAGAATCAGTTGCACCCTTCGGGCTATTTCTTCCAGTTCCTCCTTTTTTTCACTTAGATGGGTTTTGCAGCAGTCATCCAAAAATTTCAGATCCACTTTCCAAAATTCCATTTCATTCTTGAAACATATGGGGCATATTCCTTTCTTCATGTGAATTTCCCCAAAGTAGTATACGTCAATAATGCATTTGAAAGCATCTGGATCTCTGTCAAAGTAAAACTCTCTCTTTCCAGGATCATAGTCATCACAGAGGGAGAATATGCTATCGTATCCCCCCGACAAACAGTTGATCAGCTCTGCCAGCCGTGTTTCTGGGTATTGATTCAGGTTATCTCCGTAGAACACCTGTCTTACCCCACCGACATTGACTACAATCTCTGTTTCTTCGTTTCTTTCTAGTCCATCGATATCCACATCTGGAAACCTAGAGTCACCTGCCATTTTAATTGTATTGGATTTGATTTGATTTTTAGCCTGTTGTATGGTTTCAAAGCTTTGTGGTTTTAATTTCTCATGAAAGCAAATCAGCACCAAGTCAGCTCTATCACAAACGTTACCAAACTGACCCGGAGTCGTGGTGGGAAAGGTTACAGAAATAAACCTGCAGTCAGGAAAGCCTCGTGAGGTATGCAACAAGCTGCAGGGAAAAGACAAGTCATCGGGCTGCTTTGCCTGCAAGCAGGGTGTTAGAAAGCTCCAGCAGATTTGAAAGAGAAGAAACCGTTTAATATAACTCACCCCTCTGCTCAGTGCTCGAGAGTCTTTTCAGGTCCCATTCTCTCTCTAAAAGTGATATTTATTCACACGTTGGAAGTCACGGCAGAGGAAGAAATCCCGTGCTCTGATTAATGCAACGTGCAGTGAGTGACAGTTCTCAGAGAGACAATCAGCTGGGTGAGCCCACAGAAAACTGGTGCGGTTTCTCTCTTCGATTCCACAGATTTCCCTAGAAAGCTGCTTTGGAATTTTGTTTCTCTTTCCGTTTTCTCATGACTTTAAGATCTTCCAGAGTTTATCTGCTCACTCTTGCACAGAGTCAGTCGGTGCAAGCGGGCAGAGGAGAAACTTGTGCTTGTTTTCCCTTTGCTGTTTCCCAACACAATAGGGAGCCCAGGCTGCGAGGAGTCCTTTCCAAACTCTACCCTCTTCTGGTGAAACCCAGCAAAGCACCAGCTACACAGAAAACACAGCTCGGCTATTTATACACCTGCCTAGCTATAAAATAATGTGTTTCTATACCTCCACGCACTTCAACGATTTTTAAAAACAGTTTTTATAAAATCAAATACAAAACATAATCGAGTATAAATTCATTCAGTGCTGCAGAAAGACAAACCATTTCTTCTGATGGCAGAAGCCAGAGGGAAAAATACTGTGTTTTGGAATAAATACCCGACATAAATCTTGGTCTCAGCAGGACTGGAGTGAATCTAGAGTAATTCTCTGTCAGGACACTGAGTTACCATAGATTTGTACTGGTGTCATTGAGAAAGAAGCTGAGACCATAAAATTTTTGTTGCAGCTGTGGAGAAAAACTTTCCCCGCACTCTGCGCACGTTTCCCAAAGCTCGGTGTCCGCAGTTTGAGACGTGTTTTCTCGACCTGTGATAACTGATCCTGATGAGGGTTTGAGTAATTTACGTCTACGACGTTTTCTTGGTGAATGCTACTTACCAGCAGTAGTGCTTTGTACTTCATCCAGCACTTAACAAGTAGAAGTAGAATAACAAGTATTTCCTTCTAACTTTGTTTTCTCCAAATTCCAGGATTTGATGGACGTTTGTCCCCTGGACTCTTACGTTCAGGAAGGTCTATTACTGTGCTCTTAAATGCTTAAATCTGACTATACAGTTCATTTTAGTGGATCCTGAAGGCTCTGATCCAGCAAAACCCACAGTTAACTAGTTAACCCTTTCTGGCCACAGCAGAATGATCTACACCGGCAGGTTTTGATCTTTTTCAGTTTACTGGCTTCTGAAAAGCTTATAAGTAGGGGGAATAGAGAGACGCAAATCTGCCTGGTAGTTTGCTTCTGTAGGCTTGTGTCCATCCTGGGAGAAAAATGAGAGCTGTGATGTGCTTTCTGTCCTCATGCCTGCATCACCCAGCGAGGGGGAACCTGGTGAGCATGCTGTGCTCCATTTCCAACCCCTTGCAGGAAACTTACTGGGGATTAGTAAGAGGCTGTGCATCAGACCTCATCTTCACATGGAGTATGCACATAGCCTCAAGTACTTTATGAATACCCCTTGGAGGTAGTCCATGACATTTGGGGGTGCACAAACCATGAATTAAAATCACTGACCCAGCCTCTTCCTAGACCTTCCAATGACCTTCTTTGTCCCTGAGCTCTTGCATGATTGAGGAGAGTGAAAATATGAGAGGGAAGAGGTGAATTCGTAATAGAGGAAGATTCGCAAGAAACCTACGAAAGAGAGGAGCACAATCCTTTCTCTTTGCCTGTCATAAACATCCATGCACAAATGTATAATGCAAAAACTGAAGCTAAGGGAAGTGGTTTCTTGCCGCTCGGTTGGAGTCATGCTGTAAATGTAACACCCAGTCGCCCAGTATCACAGGGAGAAACAAGCCGTGCAGGAACCACAGCTCCACAATCTTCCTCAAATGCCTGCGTTGTGTCCCTCATATCCTTCCTGCAGAACAGCACGGAGGGCAAGGAACAATACCTGCAGGAGGTGGTCACCTTATCCAAGTGATAGTTCCAGGAAAAGGGTGATATCTATTAGTCCACACCTGAGTCACACTGTTAATGTCTGCAGGTCAGTGTCACCTTCACGTGTTCCTGAGGGTACTGCATAGTGTGGGTGTAATACAAGATGTCCCTTGAATACTTTTTCAGGCACATATATGTTTGCTAAGACTCACAGGCTTCTTAGGACAAGAGAAATACCTTGGAGATCTGGAAAAATCCTAGATTATGTGGGTTCAGCAATAAATATTTACCCAACTGTGTTTTGTCCACTAACTTGCTTGATTTTAGCACAACAAATATTAAGATGCCAATATGCACAGGTGAAAATGTGGGTGGGATTACTGACTACCAGTTCTTGTGAAACGAAACTGAGGTCTGGAAAAGTTAGGTTTAGAATGTTGTCAGGCTGCATCAGTAACCAGGTTCTTTAGGTTTAAATCCTCTGATTTAACCATCTCAGACAGCTACTGTCTTTGATCAATGATTCATTTCAGTGACCTTTTGGCTTTTCTCCAGGTAACGACAAAAAATCAATGTATGGTCCGGCGTAACCGGCGCAGAAAGCACTCCCTTCATTTCCAAAAAAGGCTCTTCTCCCCCTCTGTAATTTTACAGAACACCTACAAAATAGGCACAGAGGATTAGTACATACATTGTTCAGTTTGAAAGGTGAAATCAGCTCCTCTCAAATGATAAATCTCAGCACATTCTCGAAAGGTTGGGAAGAAACTATTTTTGAAATACCAGATCAGTCCTTATAAAGACTTTACTTAGCGCGGCTGCTGAAATCCTTGTGCTTTATTCTCCCTCGTCTTGCACCTTTTCAGAGTTTTTTTACACCTTTCAGTGTGCCTGTCAAACGTTAGCGGTCTGGTAGCATTTGAAATCCACTTTGACAAATGTAAATGATCCAAAGAAGGGTCAGGGAAAATTGTAATGAATTAAAACCTTGGTTTTGTAGCTGAAAAGAGTGAGACAGGCTTACTTGATGAATGTTTTTTATCAGACATATCGCAGAGCAGCAAACAAGAGGAGCGGAATGAATAATTTGCAGCAAATAATTTATTTCACTAATTTAATTCATTTTTCATCCACGAAAAGAGAGTTTCTCTAATCTGAAAATTTCAATAGATAATTGTTGCCCTGTAACTCATTTATGAGTGGTTTGCTGTAATTACTAGGGCTTCTAAATACAACTTCTGTTGATTTATGTGGCCAGGGCAAAGAGGTCAAGCTGTGCTTTGTATCTGCTGGAAGAGATGCCTGCTGGCAATTGAATTTCTACAGACTGAATAAGAAATGGGGAGGGAGTTTCTTTGTGTGTCGGTCCTTTGGCTCAGAGAACAACACGTGGATTTGAGCTGACAGATGTGTTAAGTTTTGGCTGTGGTTCAGACCAGCTCCTTCACGGAGGAGGAGGAGGCTCAACCAGACCTCAAGCCCTGCAGCCCAAGGGAAGGACTCCTGGTTTGCACAGCACCTTCCTATGAAGGGCAGCCCCAGCCCCAGCAGGAACGCCCAGGATCTGCTGGGGGGAGCCCGGACCCCCACAGGGTTTGTCCATAAGGTGTAGATGGAGCTTGAATATGTCTCCCCAGTGGCACTGAGCCTCACACGAGGGGTGCGGGTGGCACAGAGAACCCACAGCCCAGTGCCTGGGGACCTGCAGTCCAACCGACAGTGCTTGGAGGATGCTGGAGCTGCAGGTTTGGCTCCCTCGTTTGCCAGCTTTTGGGAGAGGACCTTCATCACTGGGCAGCTTTCTGCCTGTCTGGGAAGAGACATTGCTCCTCTTGAGTTGTAGCCTGACTCATACCACACTCCTGAAGCCCAGCCAGCTCCTCTGCCCTCCTGGCTGATGTACCCAACTGCTTCCCACTGAGCTACGGACAGTAGTGATGCATGAAGGGGAATGAATGGGTTAGGAGCCAATCCTAGGAAGATAAGATCAGGATAAGCATCTAGCACAAACTTATTTTCAGCTAGATGCAGACTGTGGAGAGCCGCTGAAGACAAGAACATGTCTTGAAAATGTACTATAGAAAAGTCAATCAGAGACCTAAAGAAGGACAAAGAATGGAAATATCTTATTCCTCCTTCTTTCCTCAGGGTATTCTGGGGATAAAACTTGCAGCCAGCTGCATGGGGACTGCTTTGGCAGCTGACAGCAAAAGGTTCTGTGTGGAGGAAATATTATATAATTACTTTGTGCTAATCACAAGAAATGGGAGGCAAATAATCTAAAAGAAAGAGAAACAATGAATGATGTTGTCATGGGCTTCAGAAAGAGCAGATCACCCAGAGCAGCTACTTTGATTATTTCACTACAGCCATCTCTCTTAAGAGAAGCAGGAAAGACCTTGCTGTAAGAATCCTTCAGGGCTTCCAAATCTAAGGCAGCTTCTAGTGCTTAGTGAGACAACTTCACAACCCCACTGGAAGATCCAGCACACTCTCTTTGGTGAATTAATCCAGCTACTGCTGTTTTATTGTTCGTAACTCAATATTTCAAAGCTATTTTCAAATTATACCTTCTTTTATCCATATGACTTGCTCTGCAATAAAATCAGCTGTTCTGGCACTCTCCAAGAAAACTTGAGATTGCATTCCCTTGGGTGCTGTGGTTCATGTGGTTCAGGGTGTGAAGCCACTCCTGTAGCACCACCATCAACCCCATACACTTCCCCAGTGCATCTGAAGGGCAACAGTATATGACTTGCTCTCATGGACTGTAGCACTGGGAGGTGTGAGGGAGAGCTGTGTTGTGAGCACTCAGTGTCAACCGGAAATCTTCCTGATGCACAGGGTAGCAGCTCATGGTCTCAGCACTGATGTATGTCTTGTGTATGTAGCCATGAGCTAAAGGAGGGAGTTTTGAGCGTTGGCATGAAAGATGTCCATAGCCCACAGCTGTTACTTCTGGCAACAGGTGAGTCTTTCAATCCCTTCATATGGGAAAAGAAGGATCCATCAAACGCAAAGTGAGTGAAACAAAATACCTCTCTGTTTTAGTACATCTGCATGTTTTGTATAAAGTTTTCTCAATACATCAGGCTTCTTTCAGATTGATATGTCAGAATAAGAGGTTATGAAATGTCTGAACTGAGATGAGTATCTGGACTGTACC